GCTATAGAAAGCACTGGTTTGGTAACCGAGTTGTGGGTGAGTGGAACAGACTCCCGAGTACCATCATAGAAGCTAAGACGTGTAGTTTTAAAAATAGGTTAGATAAATACATGGAGTTTACCTGGAGAGAGTTCCGGGGGTCAACGCCCCCGCGGCCCGGTCTGTGACCAGGCCTCCTGGTGGATCAGAGCCTGATCAACCAGGCTGTTACTGCTGGCTGCACGCAAACCAACGTACGAGCCACAGCCCGGCTGATCAGGAACCGACTTTAGGTGCTTGTCCAGTGCCAGCTTGAAGACTGCCAGGGGTTTGGTAATCCCCCTTATGTATGCTGGGAGGCAGTTGAACAGTCTCGGGCCCCTGACACTTATTGTATGGTCTCTTAACGTGCTAGTGACACCCCTGCTTTTCATTGGGGGGATGTTGCATCGTCTGCCAAGTCTTTTGCTTTCGTAGTGAGTGATTTTCGTGTGCAAGTTCGGTACTAGTCCCTCTAGGATTTTCCAGGTGTATATAATCATGTATCTCTCCCGCCTGCGTTCCAGGGAATACAGGTTCAGGAACCTCAAGCGCTCCCAGTAATTGAGGTGTTTTATCTCCGTTATGCGCGCCGTGAAGGTTCTCTGTACATTTTCTAGGTCAGCAATTTCACCTGCCTTGAAAGGTGCTGTTAGTGTGCAGCAATATTCCAGCCTAGATAGAACAAGTGACCTGAAGAGTGTCATCATGGGCTTGGCATCCCTCGTTTTGAAGGTTCTCATTATCCATCCTGTCATTTTTCTAGCAGATGCGATCGATACAATGTTATGGTCCTTGAAGGTGAGATCCTCCGACATGATCACTCCCAGGTCTTTGACGTTGGTGTTTCGCTCTATTTTGTGGCCAGAATTTGTTTTGTACTCTGATGAAGATTTAATTTCCTCGTGTTTACCATATCTGAGTAATTGAAATTTCTCATCGTTGAACTTCATATTGTTTTCTGCAGCCCACTGAAAGATTTGGTTGATGTCCGCCTGGAGCCTTGCAGTGTCTGCAATGGAAGACACTGTCATGCAGATTCGGGTGTCATCTGCAAAGGAAGACACGGTGCTGTGGCTGACATCCTTGTCTGTGTCAGATATGAGGATGAGGAACAAGATGGGAGCGAGTACTGTGCCTTGTGGAACAGAGCTTTTCACCGTGCCTGCCTCGGACTTTACTCTGTTGACTACTACTCTCTGTGTTCTGTTAGTGAGGAAATTATAGATCCATCGACCGACTTTTCCTGTTATTCCTTTAGCACGCATTTTGTGCGCTATTACGCCATGGTCACACTTGTCGAAGGCTTTTGCGAAGTCTGTATATATTACATCTGCATTCTTTTTGTCTTCTAGTGCATCTAGGACCTTGTCGTAGTGATCCAATAGTTGAGACAGACAGGAGCGACCTGTTCTAAACCCATGTTGCCCTGGGTTGTGTAACTGATGAGTTTCTAGATGGGTGGTGATCTTGCTTCTTAGGACTCTTTCAAAGATTTTTATGATATGGGATGTTAGTGCTATCGATCTGTAGTTCTTTGCTGTTGCTTTACTGCCCCCTTTGTGGAGTGGGGCTATGTCTGTTGTTTTTAGTAACTGTGGGACGACCCCCATGTCCATGCTCCCTCTCCATAGGATGGTAAAGGCTCGTGATAGGGGCTTCTTGCAGTTCTTGATGAACACGGAGTTCCATGAGTCTGGCCCTGGGGCAGAGTGCATGGGCATGTCATTTATCGCCTGTTCGAAGTCATTTGGCGTCAGGATAACATCAGATAGGCTTGTGTTAACCAAATTCTGTGGCTCTCTCATAAAAAATTAATTTTGATCTTCGACTCTCAGTCTGGTTAGTGGCTTGCTAAAAACTGAGTCATATTGGGACTTGAGTAGCTCACTCATTTCCTTGTGTGGGTGTGTGTGAGCTTTTCCTTCCCTAACATTAGGATCCCTTGTTGAATGACCTACACAAGTATAGCGATTCTTTAACATGACTGTAAAATGAATCTCATGTCCTGCTTCCATCTTCCTTAAAAAAAAAAAAAGCCTCCAGAGGCATATGCAGGGTTGAAGTGTGGCTACGCTTACAGCCACGACTACCGTCGACTGATGCCCTTCAAAGTGGAGCTACGGTGGGCCGACCCTATTATTGTAGTGTACCACGATGTGCTCTCAGAGGCAGAGATAAGCACAGTGAAGCATATAGCCTCGCCGCGCCTGGAAACCACCATGGTACACTCCTTCACCACACATCAGATGCAAAAGTCCCTCGCCAGGGTGGGCAAAACGTAAGTCGCAGAGACATTAATGAAGCTTGTCATGAGTTTTACTGAATATTCATTGTCCATAAAATGAGTGTCGTTAAAACTGTATCCATACTTTACTCAAGTTTTTTTTTTAACCGAGGGTAGTGACGTCTCGCTGATAAACGTTAATGGCATTCATAAAATAAAAATGTCTGACTGCATTTTTACCTGTATTTTAAATATATGAGGTAATAATTTTTGATAGACGGTATTGGCTTTATAAGCATTAAAATTGAGGTCCAAAAATGCCATATGGTTTGTACACGGAATTATAGGTTTCTTTAACTTAATAGTTAACTCTCCTTACAGTAAAAAAATGTAGAAAGGTGTTGTTAGTATTAACCCTGCTCCTCCCACTGTGAGTTAATATTCTCTCCCATATTGAGAAATTATACCGTAGTACTATCTCAGAAGGTGATAGTTGACAGCAGTCGTCCTCCAAGGCGTAGTTTACCATTGCTCTTTTCCCCAGGGTGTGGATTAACAATATCTCACAGGACTTGGATCACTAATATCTCTCACAGGGCGTGGGTTCAACGAGGGGACGATACAACTGTGGATAGGATATTACAGAGGATAGAAGACATGACGGGGCTCACCACGGACACCTCTGAAGATTTCCACGTTCTTAACTACGGCATCGGTGGACACTACGATGCTCATGTCGACTTTTTCGACCTGCAAAATGTGTGTTCCTATAAATATTAGCCGTTTCTTATATTACATTCATGTTTTTAATATGTTGGTTCAAATAAAGTTCGAAGAGCTTAAAGGATATTGTTGATATCCCATCTTCGATATTATAAAAAAAAAATCTATATTACATCTGGCTAATTACTTTTTTGGGGAAATTTTCAGAAATCGCTTGACAAAGCACCACATCTGGGAGATCGTTTGGCCACAATGCTCTTCTACGTAAGTTTATACATATTTATATCATTTGAGAAAAAATGGTTAATGTCATTTTCAGTGAGCATACATCTACTTACATTTCTTGAACCAGCCGAGTGTAGATCACATTGTAATGGATCATACTTTGGGATATAACAGTTGTACATAAAAAAAATAATTGAACTGTTTCTCAGACTACTTTTTATTATTTATTTTGAGAAGGTATGACCTGGTGCTAATATTCAACCTACCTTAGGACAAGCCAAATTTTTTTTTTCAGTTGAATGTAATTGATATCAGTCCCCCCTTCCCTGTATCTACGAATGTGTCTCGAACCAAAACTATATTATTGATCAGCTGATTGGCATCAGTTCCTTTCACAGATTAATGTAAGTAATTGTTTAATAGTTAAACGACGTGGAGGCCGGAGGGTCGACAGTGTTCCCCACATTGGCGGTGGAGGTTCCAGCAAGGCAAGGTTCTGCTCTCTTCTGGTTCAACCTTGAACGAAATGGCAAGGGTGACTACCGTACAATGCACGCCGCTTGCCCTGTCCTCCTTGGTGAAAAGTGGAGTAAGTTTTTCTTATTTAAAATAGTGTTGCACGGCCACTCTATTCTTTCTGCTCGTATACAAATTACATAGTGGAATACTCAGTGCATTACAGTTTGGAAACAAAGGTTAGCTATTTTTTCCTGTCCTGTTTCATCACACACAGGATGGATTTCATACACGAGGTAATAAAATCTGTCAGCTTAAGCTGGCTAGACTTTATAGGGTGAGAATCTCGTTCAACATTCCATTATGGATTCAGCAACTGCGGCAGCCAAGGTTTCCTTCCAGCAGGGCTGGACGTACGTTCTAGCAGGACTGGAGTTGCTTTGAAATAGGCACTACCACTGAAACTCCTTTCAAGAGGGGTGCCTTGATGTTGAAGGGCTGTTGCTCCAAACATTAGAGCTATCCTTCCCTTCCCGTTCCTGATGGGCTGTATGACCCTTACGGATTTAGCACTCTCCTGTGAATATGATGCAGCGTTAACAAAGCAGATGATGTTTAGGTCTTGATCCAAGGAATTAGAGCTACCCTTCCTCTTCTCGGATCAAATTTGATTACCTCCTATTCCATAGGCACTGTATAACCCTAAAGGTGTTTTCCGTTTCCTTGTGAATGTAATTCTGGTTTTAGTTGTTCCTGATCTTATCCTAATATTATAATACATTAAATAGTTTTACAACACAGATTGCTTTATCACTTATGATTTTAATAATTAACGATTTAATGTTTTAACTGATGAAGGATATTTTAACTTGATGTATGCTTGTGGGTTTTAATGCATTTTTGTAATCATGATTATAATTAATTTATCGTTTTCAAACGCTCTGTATGATCGTCTGGATGAGTGCTTTATAAATTATATAATCTAATTTTTATTTTCCAATTTTGTTAAATTTTGTTATCATATTTCACAGGATCTTCTATTTTTTTTATTTTTGAACCTCATGTGCAACATATTAATCAGTCGTCAAGAAAAGTACATGAACTTTACAATAATATTACTTCGTAACCTTTATAAAATTACAATTTAATAATAGATCACAAATTCATTATATTCACCCTATGTTTCTTGCCTCGTAACACTTTCATAAAGTGTCAGTCATTATTAGCAGAGATATTAGACTATCCATTCCATCGTGTAAGTTCAACTCCATGTTTACTTTCAGTTGCTAATTTGTGGCTTCACGAGTTTGGTCAGGAGTTCCGGTGGCCTTGTACACTAGACCCAAAGGATTAAGATGCTCATAGAATATATTAAGATTTCCTCAGTTGCTACAAGAAGACTAGCAGTGTATCTACAATTCCTGTTCTGTGTAATAGAAGTGTATCCTCATTAAATATGGCATTAGTATATGAAGTGTATGTTCCTCAGACCACAGCGCCAGATGATTCCTTATAAGTTGAAATGAAGGTTTCTCTTTTCACATTCTCATTCAGTCTGGGAACTCTCTTGGTGTGTGGTCATGTGGGAACAATGTGTCTACATATTGCATTGTATAGATTAGCTATGAGAGTAATATATGAAATGAATGTAATATCTTTAAAGATGTCATGATACCAGGTAGGATTTGACAGACCCACCCATTGTGTCCTCTGTAACCCTGTTGCACTAACACACTAAACCTGAGTTGTGGGGCATACAATAAACTAGCTCAATGTAAAAGTAAGCAGTTTAATTTCCTCTTTAAAAATTGTGGATTATTATAATAGTCTTTGTTTTAGTCAATTCTTTGTAAGATTCCCTTTGAAAGCCTGTTGCAGTTACGTAATTACGATAACATAACCACATAAAATATTACCTTATCTGTACTTAGTTCTGGGTAGCTCCTGGCCCAGTGAAGTTTCGGATTTTCTGTATAGAAAGCTATACAACAATCTGTTTCTTAATGAAATGCAATTTTCTTTATAGTAAATCAATTTTTCTTGGTAAAACGATCAGTTCCCGAATAGCAGACTGCACCATGTTTTTCATTGTAACGTTAATCACGTCTAGTAAATGGTTTTTATGATTTCATCCTTAATCTACACCGCCATCGCCTTATCATTCACCTATCAGTTATCACTTAACTCGCCTCATATTCGTCCATCACTGTTCGATGATTACTATTAGATACAAAAGCAATAAAAGCATTTAAAAAATAAACAAGGAAACAATATTTTTGCAGTATATTCCAAATGTCCCTGTCTGCACTATACCTAAGATATATACAAGTAATTTGGATTATAGTAACTGTTATATTCTTATGAAGATATGACCTTCATTTAATGATAGCGTCTGCTGAGGTATAATAATGCTCCTTTGTAAATATATTTATAGTTTAAGTAATTTAAGCAGTATACAGCATTTCCGGACGTGATTGTATAGTATAGGATTTGCAGAGCATGAGGGCGTTGAGAGGCTGGTTTATCCTCAGTAGTAACTTCCTTCGGAGGAAATGACGTTGGCAAACAAGGCTAGTTATCAGTAGTTGACATTGATAAGAGTGTAGTGACGTTATGTGTAACTTATTTCTGTGAGGATGTTACTCTTCTGCAAGACTGTCTCACTGTAACCCAGGAATACACTCTTGCAAGGCTGTGTAACCTAGTGGATACTTTTGCGAAAGCTCCCTCAGTGTAACCCAAGGAATACTTTCCTGCAAGACTGCATCAGTGTAACCCAAGGTAATTTAGTGATTAACATCGAATGTTGTGGATCAGACAACACTATTGGTATGTCTAATAAATTTTGCATGGGTATTTTTACTATGTTTTAATTACTCCGCGAGCATTGGGATTTTATTTTGTTATAGTGCTGTATAGAACAGATTTTAGAAAAATAACTTCAAAGGAGTTACCCTGATGAATATAATGGTATACAGTACCGACAAGCTGATGAGTATGCCCAACTGTTGCACATGTTTTATATATCAGTTACCTTGATTCTGGTGAAGTGCTCTCTCCCAGGAATTGGAATTACACTCCCGTTGATCAACCTGATTACCTCCATTCTCGGTTAAGTGTGTTTACAAGATATCAACATGTGAAATCTAATAACCACGCAATGAATTTGGAAGGCAGAAAGGTAACATAAAATGGAGGATCTGTTACAAAGGAAGATATTGAAAGCAGTGCTTATAGATGAAACCCAGCTTCAATAATTCATAAGGAACGGGAGGTAATCAAGTGCGGTCTGAAGAAAGGAAGATTAGCTGCCATTCCTTGTATCAAAAGTTCTTACCATCAAAGCACTTCCCTTGAAGGGAGGATCATTTAACTAGTACTACAGGTAGTCTCAAGAATGGGTTGAAGAGATACATGCGTAGGACTGATTGGATGTGAGTGAGATCTGCCTAGTATGGACTAGTAATCCTACTGTTGATCTCTTTTCTTAATTTTTTCTCCACGCTAGAAGGAAAACACGAGGCGGCTATAAAGAAGTCTGTCCAGGAGTATGCAAGGAAGAGGTGTGGGAGTGGTAACATCTATCAGTGCAGCAGTCTTGAAGTACCAGTGTACTAACATCCCTTGGTAACTCCCTGATAGGATCTCAAGTGAAACTCCAACAGCCTGTAACAGCACTTGAAAGTGTCAAACATGAGGCTGGATGAGGTAAGGTATTTTTTGGTTAACAACTTTACTGATGTAGTGGCAAGTGTAATCAATACTACTTGTAAATAGCATAAACAAACCCTCATGGAAACAACCGAACAAATGAGTATTGTTTTTCAACCTCACACTTTAGAACACCTCAGTATGAGGCCGAAAAGTACAGTAATCATCTTTTATTTTATTGTCTCTTTGGGTTAGACTGTTCTGTATCTATTCATAGTCCTGTTTAAAACTGACATCCATTCACATAAATAACAAATAAATCTTATTTATGCTGTTAAAAGATGTTTGATAGTCATTTATCAAATAAAAATACGCTTATTCTTTTTGCAAGAGCCACTGAAGCTTGTATGCTTAATGTTAGCCTAGCTGGACGTAAAATCCAATGAAATAACCCTAACTAACGCTAATGAATGACAAATTATTTTTTAATCACTTATCTTTAAAAAATTTCTATTAAAATCTTGTGCTCTTATGTCAAACTTTTTAACAGTTTTGTGGAAAAATGTCTAATTCTTCCAATAATGTTTACTTTTGTTGTGTCGGACGATTAAAGGAAGCATTTTTTTTTTTAGCAAATCAAGCTCTAATTCAAAAAATCTTTATATAACACTGGCACCTATTATAGCACTAATCCTATTATAACTACATTAGTTATAAACCACACTGTCTTCATACTGCGTGTAAGGTAAATGTAGTTAGCTTTTGCCTTTGTAAAATGTAATAGATAAGGTTAGCAGCACACTGCATTTGTTCCTAATTTTGAGATCAAGTAAAGACTCTGCTATCCTCCTAAAGAAACTACTTAACTAAAATTATGCATTATTCTTTTATATCCCTATTTTAATTTCATCGCAAACTTCAAAACTAATATATATGCTAAGCGTTACGTAATACAAAAATAACTTTAACTTAAATAGCTTAGTTAAGAATTTGCGTACCTTTAGGTAATTTTTCCTGGGGGGGGGGAGATTCATAGGGTGATTAATTTTGTAATAAATCTTAGAATCATGTGGCAAGTGATGGCCAGGAACCAGTGGAGTCTTACCCGGCGATGGCCAATGGTGAATCCAGCACTCGGGTACAAGGCTCCAGTGCTCCCTACGCTGATTTCTCCTCCACAGCCAGGAATGGACGAGACAGATTTGAGAATTATGAAAGCGACGACCTCAATCATGAAGCCAATTATACAACGTTCAGACGTAAATGATGCTGAATTCGTGTATAGTTATTTACTTTACATTTGTAGCCTATGTGTAGATGTAAATAGTTTTTTTTGTTTTTGTTTTTGGCTTTTTTTTTCAAATGTCACAATTAAAAAATGTCTAGAATATAAGGCACACGTCACTGAATTTTTTAAAAAATGTCTAGAATGTCACAATACCGTGGCTGTGACAGTTTACAGCTAACAAACAAATTGGAACGGGAAACTAGACAACGTTTCAGTTCTTAGGGAGGGATTGAAAATGGTTTAGGATGTCGCTTAGTTTTCGTTTCTAATTTGTGGGCGAGTTGTGAAATGTTTTTTTTAATTGTCAAAATCTTTTGAAATCAGCAGTCATAATATGCGTTATGTTTGCAGCCAGTTTGTGCCCCCTGGAGGAGCAACATCAAGGAAGGGCGGTACTCAATACTGTCATACAACTCCCCGTCGATGCCGTCTTCAATTATCTTTTTCTTCACAAGGAGTTCATGGGTGATGTCCTCGCTGCCAGGAAGGTCTCTGGTAAGATTGTATACAAGGTACATACCTCTTAATATTTGTTTCTTAGAGCTTGAACGCTTCCATCAGATTGAACTTGAAGAGACTGATATTTAATTTTTCCTTCAACTCCCTATCGTCCTGGAGAGAGAGAGAGAGAGAGAGAGAGAGAGAGGAAATATTTGATTTAGTGTATCCCCTAACGGGGACTTTTTAAGTGTTGGCTTGATTTTTTTTTTCCTTCATTCAACTTTTTGATTTCGTTGCTCATAACTCAAGAACGCCTCTTCCTATCAGCTTCAAGTTTTCAGTGGTTGTGTACGGCGAGACCCAGATTCTTGGCAAAATTCGAGTGTGCAGGTACCCAGTGATCAAAGTTGTTGAACCCAGCATCTTGGAATGATTTAAACAAGTTTCAAAAACCTAGGCGGCATTGCTTCAAAATGCGGAGAGTGAAATTCAAGTGTGCAGGTGTGGATTTTCTCATTTTATGTAAAATAGTGTGAAATTTTGATTTCTGTTTAATTATTACGTTAAAAATAGCTGAATCTACCTCTTCTGCACGGCTTCAATATTTAATGGATGATGCATCTTATGGCCAGGATACTACCCATTCACTTTAGTTTGTGTATGGGCAAATTTATTGCGATGCATTTTTTCCTTAGAAAACTTGGAATCTGGAAATTTGATCAGACTGGACTTTCTTAAAAACTCATTTTTTTTTCTTAAAGGATTGTAGTCTTAAATGTAATATACATCTGCACAAAGAAATTGTACTGCATGGTGGGATGCCATTGTTACCTACAGTTTCTCATCCTATCTAATGTTTTCGTTTATAACTTCAAAATGTCTTAACTGATTATCTTCATATTTTACACCTTTGTCAATTATTACTAGGTGAAGATTCGTGGAGCAGTTAACATGTGCAGGTGCCCTTTGCTCAGTTTTATATAGACCATTCGTGAAATCAGTTCCCACGAGAGAGCCAAATGATTGACTTGTACTATTAATTATAGATTCATATATATTTTGTGAAGGGATTCAGGGAAACGGGTGAGCCTCTGGCAAGACTGTGAATAATGGTCAACCTGCCTCCGTGGGATATGGATATATATATATATATATATATATATATATATATATATATATATATATATATATATATATATATATATATATATATTTATATATATATATATATATATATATATATATATATATATATTATATATATATATATATTTATATTATAATTTTTTTTTTTTTTTTTTTTTTTTCAACAAGTCGGTCGTCTCCCACCGAGGCAGGGTGACCAAAAAAAAAAAAAGAAAATCCCCAAAAAGAAAATACTTTCATCATCTTTCAACACTTTCACCACACTCACAATTATCACTGCTTTTGCAGAGGTGCTCAGAATACAACAGTTTAGAAGCATATACGTATAGAGATACACAACATATCCCTCCAAACTGCCAATATCCCAAACCCCTCCTTTAAAGTGCAGGCATTGTACTTCCCATTTCCAGGACTCAAGTCCGACTATATGAAAATAACCGGTTTCCCTGAATCCCTTCACTAAATATTACCCTGCTCACACTCCAACAGATCGTCAGGTCCCAAGTATCATTCGTCTCCATTCACTCCTATCTAACACGCTCATGCACGCTTGCTGGAAGTCCAAGCCCCTCACCCACAAAACCTCCTTTACCCCCTCTTTCCAACCCTTTCGAGGACGACCCCTACCCCTCTTTCCTTCCCCTATAGATTTATATGCTTTCCATGTCATTCTACTTTGATCCATTCTCTCTAAATGACCAAACCACCTCAACAACCCCTCTTATATATATATATATATATATATATATTAGTAACCACGAACGAGTGGTATTGTTCAATACCAACACCGCGACTAGCCAAGGACTCGAATCAATGATTTGGCCGCCTCATGGTGAGCGAAAACACATGACGCTCTAACCGACAGGACCATGCAGTCCTACAAGAACCAAGCACCCAGCCAAGCTAGGTGTGTTACCTTGGTCCGAGGACATATGGTGGGGTGGGTGCCTCTGAGCTAATTTCATTGTTACTTAGTTTCTCCCACCCTTAGATATAGTAACGACTCCTTGGGAGGAAGGAGAAGATGGCAGGAGAGCTCGCATGATGACCTATACTATGTCTCTGTCTATCTCGAGCCTCGCCTCTAAGGCCTCCAGTGTTACTGAAAGACAGGTAAGTAAGCACTCCATCATAAATCCTGTTCCACTAGTAATCTGAACCTGGTCTGATCCACTGCCAAAGTCTTGTAGCTCTATGCGTCTTCTATTGCCTTTCGTGTCACTAGGTTAAGTATGGCCTGGCTCCAGTGGGTGATTATTATATATTTATGGGTAAGCGCTAAATCCGTAGGGAAAATGTAACCTCCCCCCAAACAAACAAGACGCTGGCTCGTTTATTGGACTGGATACTAATTTTGTGGCAAGTCTTTCCACCTGCTACCTCTGTTCACCTAGCAGTATACAGATATCCAGGTGTTAGCCAGCTGTTGTGGGTGGCATCCTAGAAAAGGGCCCTGATGGATCAAGTGCGGCTAAATGCTAGCTGCCACGAAATTTTAAATCGTTTTATTGGAAAGATGCACACCGGTTTAACACTGACCCCTAGCATGCGGTGCCATGAAACAGAAATCCCCATAGCTTTAATTGTCTAATATTTGAATAATTTTGAAGACACTAAGATACACTTATTTATCATGCTTTCAGCTTTGCTACACGACTTTGGTTGTCAACACTATAGCAAATTAAAAACTGACCGCATTGTTCCTACTCAAAAACATAACAATCAGACATGGTAAGGCAACATATGTAAATAGCCCAATATTGGGGATTAAAGTATTTTTACCTTTTCAATTCAATTCAATTCAAAGTTTATTCTCTATAAAGATTACAATGATGAATTTACAGAATTTGATTGTTGTGTGGTTTACATGTAGTTAAATAATGATTACAGAGTGTACCACTAGAACGCCTAGCATGGCTAGGCATTTCGGGCAGACTTAGTTTAATTCTTTATTTTAAAATATTACAAATTATGAGGTAAGTTGGTATTATGGCTAAGTGACTAAATACTAGTTTGTGAGTTTAGCAATGTGAATGCTTTTGTTTTTGCACAGTACATAGTTTCAGTATTGGAGTATCATAGGATTCATTATTTTAAGATTGAGATTAATATTTGTTTATGGTCCAATGGGTGAGTGAGTGTAAGTGTGAACCACCAGGTGGTATTCGTGTAGTTAGTTGAGGGGGTGAAATCAGGGAGATAAGAGTTTTCTAATGGTAGTTTTGAAGGTGATGAATGTGTCTGCAGTTCTAGAGTTCTCAGGTAGGGTGTTCCAGATTTTAGGGCCTTTGACATACATTGAATTTTTGAAAAGGGGTTTAGTCGGACACGGGGAATGTCGTAGAGATGTTTGTGTTTGGTGTTATGCCTGTGGGTTCTGTCACAACTATCAAGAAAGCGTTTTAGGTCAAGGTTGATTTTGGGAGTTTAACGTCCTGTAGATGTAGATTGCACAGTAGTAAGTGTGAATGTACTGAACAGGGATAAGTTTAGATCTATGAAGAGTGGGGGGGGTGTTGCCAGGGATGGGATTTAGTGATTATTCTTACTGCAGCTTTTTGTTGGGTTATTATTTGGGTTTAGGTGTGTTGCTGCAGTTGATCCCCAAACACAAATGGCATAGGTGAGGTATGGATAAATAAGTGAGTGGTATAAATGTGTGAAGGGCATTTTGCGGCACGTAGTATCGTATCTTTGGGGAGGATCCCAACCGTTTTGGATACTTTTTTGGTTATGTGTTGGATATGGGTGCTGAAATTCAGGTTTGGGTTGTCAAGGTATAGGGCCCAGGAATTTGCCCTCATTATGCCTGGTAATTAGAGTTTGTCGATCTTAATGTTAATTTGTGCATCTCCTGCTCTGCTACCAAACATAATATGAGGTTTTGTCAGTGTTAAGCGTAATTTATTGCTGTCATCCAAGTCGATATTTTAACAGCTCCTCGTTAACAATGGTTGTTAGGTGGCAAGATTAGGGTGAGAGATGAACATAAGTCTGTCGTCAGCAAAGAGAATGGGTTTTCAGGTGTGGGATATTGAAATCATTGATGTATATGAGGAAGAGCAGGGGACCAAGGACACTTTCCCTGTTGGAACTCCATATCAAGTGCCGTGTTGTTGATGCTGTGTCTTAAAGGGGACAAACTGAACCTTAGTAAGGAAGATTGAAATAAGCAAGCGCATGGCCTCTATACCGTAATGTCAAGTTTGTGGAGAAGGATGTAATGGTCTACGTGTCAAAAGCTTTTCTAAGGTCAAAAAAAATTCCTAGGGGATTTTCCTTATTTTCCCCAAGCTGTGTAAAGCAATCTACTTTTTTTATGATCATCTTTAGTCTTTTTTTTTCCTAATCCAAATTGGCGGGGGTTGATATGTTTTGTTTTTTATAAATGAATAACCCTTGCCGATTTTCAAAAGTTTTTTGGATAGCAAGGGTAAGTTTTGATAGGGCCTATATTTTTTAAATCGAGGTCACCACCTTTAGTTTTGGGGAACCCTTGCCTCTTGATTTTTCGGGAAGGTCAGTTTCTAGTGACTTTAAAAAGTAATGAAATAGCATGCGAAAGGATAGGGGCCCCCTCGCTTGTACATAATGGGGGGACAAAACAGATTCCCGAGTTTTTTAATGACTTTATAATCTCGGTGACTTTTCCGAGGCTCAGTGTGCAAATAAAAGGGAATTTGGGAAATTCCCATCTAGATCCCCGGCATGGGCTTTGGTATGGGGGATTTTATTGGGCAAATTAACCCATGGTTAGAAAATCGTTTATCTTTTTACGTGTCAGGGAATAGTGTGTTTCATTGGGTTTATTTGGGAAAATTTTTTTGTTTTTTTTTTCTTTGTGGCCCAGAATCTGAGAGAGTGTTTTCCGGGTCTTTTAATCTCCTATATGTCTTGAATCTACTGGAGTAGTAAAGTTGTTTGGTTTTCTTTTTTATTTTTGGTGAAATGATGAATATGTTTAAGAATATCTTTTTGTATTAAGCCCTTCTATATTGCTTTTCATATTGGTTTTCTTGTCAAAGATTTTAGAATGGTGGGGTGGTTAGCCATGGGGAACCAAACCGTTTTTTTGATTTTTTTTTATAGACAATGTTTGTTTATAGTCAAATAAATTTTAAAAAAATGTCTTCCCGTCATCAAACCATTGGCCTTGGGGAATTCGTAGGCCATCAACAATCCTAGGGCACTGGAACTTCCTTATTGAGGCCTCGTCATGGGGTCTAAAAAAGACTTTGTTGTATTTAAGTGGTGGTTTACTAATGTTAGTCCGAGGAAGGTAGGGTAGTGGTCTGTAGTGCTATCTGTGATTATCCCTGATTTAAGGGGGCTAGTATATTGGTCCATATGTGGTCTATTATGTTGCATTTTTCTCAGTGGGGCCGGGTTGGTTAGTTATTGTGGTATGAATGTGGTTGTTCATATTGTTGATGAAATCAGTTATAGCTGATCATCTGGTAAGCCAAGTTGATGTTGAAGTCTCCAGCTAAAAAAGGGTGGTGCTTATTCATTTGTCTGTTTGTTATTAGTGACTTTAATTTCTCACTGAAATTTGGGAGTTTGGTGAGGTATCCGGTAAATGGCAAACCGATTGTTAAGGTTCTTAAGGTTTTTTTACAGTAAAATTCAAAAATTATTCCCCATATTCATCACTAAAGCAAGTGGTGCTAATACAAGATGATTGGTTAGAGTAATAGATTGCAATACCACCCCCAACTTGGTTTGGTCGCAGTTGTGAAATTGCTGTGTATCCTGGTAAGGGTAGATATCTATTGTGTCCTGCTTAAGCCAGGTCTCAGTAAGAATAATGCAGGAGAAGGTGTCTTTAGTGATTCAAGGAGTGCCCGGAGGTCATCATAGTGTTTGCTTTAAAGGGCCGATGTTGTAGTTAAGTATTGATAGACTTTTAGCATTGTTTAGGAAAAGTGCTGGCTTGTGTTCTGTGTAATAAAGCAGTTACTTTCCAATAGGTTTTGATTGGGTTCAGAATATGGAGGTTTAGATCAGGTCAACGTGATCAATCATCTTCTAGTTAAATTATGGTTATTTATATCCTGAGTTGTGTGTTTTAGTTCTAGTACTGATATCTGTAGTGGTGGGAAGTTTGGATAAGTAATATAGCTAGAGTATTTTTGGTGGCCTGGGGGTTAAAAGCTCTCGCTTCACACGGCGAGGGCCTGGTTCGATTCCCAGCCGATAGAAACATTTGGGGGTGTTTTTTTTCCACCTTTTTGCTATGTTCCCCATCAGTAAAATGGGTACCTGGGGGTTAGTCGACTGGTGTGGGTCGCACCTGGGACACTGACCAATTTTTCCCGAGATGCTCAGCATAACAAGTGGCTTTCTATGTAGTAGTATGTCATTGTTGTCAGCTAGGGCTGCAAACCATGTACTGTAGTAAATAAAGAATTATTATAAAATTATTATATTATTATATAGAGTAAGTCCCCTACTACACATAATTAAGTTGATGTGTCTATGTGTTGTGCTGGAATGAAATAAAGTACAACTAGTATAAACTAGTAATATAAAAATACAAATTTAAAATAGAACAAGACTCTCACTTGTAATTGCACTAAGGTCTAATATAAGACTTTTGTGGAGTCTATGTTTGAGCTAGAATGAGCTATAGTACAACTAATTTAACCTGATAATAAAAAAAATACAAATTAAAAATAGCACCAGTCTCTCACTAGTAAATGCACTATGGTCTAATATAATAAATTTTGGGTTTATTGACTATAGTACAACTGAGTTTAATCTAATAATATAAAAAGGCACAAGACTCTCAATTGAAATTTGCACTAAGGTCTTATATAAGTTGTTTACAAGAATTAGAGTATAACTAATTTAAATTGACAGGATAAAATATACAAGTTAAGGTAGCAAAAGAATAATAATAAAAAAAAAAGATAAAAATAAAAATGGCAATGACTTGGTTATAATATGTTAGTAAGATGGTAGACAGGATAATATAAAAGTTTGTAGTTGAAAATACTAGTGTAAAAAAGTATAGAAAAAAATGGTCAATAAAAGAAAGTTTACAATAATTTTTTAAATCAATATAGTTTAAAGCAAAATTGGGAAAATAATAGGGATTTGAGAATAAAATTGGGCAGTTGAGTATTTCTTAAAGTGGGGTTTAGAATTATTGAGGACAAGTTATGGCTAGTTTATAATAAAATAAGAGGAACAGTGATGCAGTAAAGTTGTAAAAAAAGGGGATAGATTCTGTAGATATTAAACAAATTAAGACTATGAGGTAGAATGGCGTTGAATACAACAAGACAATCAAAAGTAGTTGGGGTATTAGAATTTTAGGGGGCACAAATTTATGACAATATAACACTAACTGTGGACTGTGGGTATTATCTGCACTTTACTCTGATTCTGTTAGTCCAGCCTCACTTAGGAATGTTTTAAGGTCATGTTCTGTAGAGATGAAGTATCTCTTCCCAGTGGGCTGTTTCCTAACTGCGATTTTTCCATCCCTCACAAAGCACTGGTGGATTTTTTGGGCATAGCGTAATTTTCTTAGCCGATAAAGAAGGTTTTGTCTTATTTTGGTAAGGCACTCATTTTAGTGGAATGGTAAAATGTAATCTTAATGACATTAGCATTTTCCTTTAACTGCTCCAACTTAAGTGAATCACTTGTAAGAACCTTAAGGCAATAGATGTATTTGAGACGTGCGCTCATTATGACAATTACAGTTACACAGTAAAGATTTATAACTGAAACATTAAGTCAAATTTAACTAAACACGAAGAGCATAGAGGCAAAAGGTTACATAAGCGGACGAACACAATGGTCTCTGTGGATTTAGGCCTTGTGGTTAACATCGCTAATGGCATATCAACTATTTGGGCTGAGAAGTAATTTTTTTTTTTTGGAGGGGGGGGGGGGTTAGTATGTTCACTGTAAGGATAAGGTGTATTGCCAAAAAAATCTTAAAAATGTGTGTGAGTTTGGAAGGTCTTCGGCGTAACAGGTAGTGCAGGAGAGCCGGGCAGGGGCCATGTACGTAGTGGAGACTGAGGCAATGAACGCTGGTGTTCCCTACGCTGACGCCTTCACTGTGTACAACCACTACTGCCTGTCCAGGGACACAAGAGGCACCACTACCCTCACCGTCTGGTCGAATGTCAAATATAAGAAGGCGGTCTGGGGTTTGGTCAAAGGTGAACATATAATTAACTGTTCTTTTGTAATTATTACTTCAACTGGCTACTAGAAAACAACATTTTGCTAGTTCATATTGTTTTGTTGATACTAATAACTTTAGGGTTATCAGTATACACAGTTGAAAAGTCTGTTCAACTGTTAGGGCAACACTTTAATGTTACCGGAGGAGAACTTGTTGGTGTAAGGAATAACCATTTACAGGTATGTATAGATAGGTATAGGTAGGCATTGTTATGTTAACGTAGAGATAAAATTAGGTTGGATAAATTGGTCTGATCCAAGTAGGTAAGACCAGGCCGAAGTGGATATATATATATATATATATATATATATATATATATATATATATATATAATATATAATATATATAAATATATATATATGTATATATATAATAGTATATATTTTTATTTTTTTTTTCAACAAGCCCGGCCCGTCTCCCACCGAGGCAGGGAGCCCCAAAAAGAAAGAAAATCCCCAAAAAGAAAATACTTTCATCATCATTCAACACTTTCACCACACTCACACATTATCACTGCTTTGCAGAGGTGCCAGAATACAACAGTTTAGAAAACATTACATATAAAGATACACAACAAAATCCCTCCAAACTGCCAATATCCCAAACCCCTCCTTTAATGTGCAGGCATTGTACTTCCCTTTTCCAGGACTCAAGTCTGACATATGAAAATAACCGGTTTTCCCCTGAATCCCTTCACTAAATATTACCCTGCTCACACTCCAACAGATCGTCAGGTCCCAATTTACCATTCGTCTCCATTCGCTCCTATCTAACACGCTCACGCACGCTTGCTGGAAGTCCAAGCCCCTTGCCCACAAAACCTCCTTTACCCCCTTCTCCAACCCTTTCGGGGACGACCCCTACCCCGCCTTCCTTCCCCTATAGATTTAATGCTTTCCATGTCATTCTACTTTGATCCATTCTCTCTAAATGACCAAACCACCTCAACAACCCCTCTTCTGCCCTCTGACTAATATTTTTAAATTAACTCCACACCTTTTCCAAATTTTTCCCACACTCCGAACTTTCTGCATAATATTTACACCACACATTGCCCTTAAACAGGACATCTCCACTGCCTCCAACCGTCTCCTCGCTGCTGCATTTACCACCCAAGCTTCACACCCATATAAGAGTGTTGGTACTACTATACTTTCATAAAATTCCCTTCTTTGCCTCCATAGATAACGTTTTTTGACTCCACATATTTCCTCAACGCACCACTCACCTTTTTTCCCCCATCAATTCTATGATTAACCTCATCCTTCATAAATCCATCCGCCGACACGTCAACTCTCAAGTATCTGAAAACATTCACTTCTTCCATACTCCTCCTCCCCAATTTGATATCCAATTTTTTCTTTATCTAAATCATTTGATACCCCCCAAACACCTTACTCTTTTCTACGTTCACTTTCAACTTTCTACCCTTTACACACATTCCCAAACTCATCCACTAACCTTTACAATTTTTCTTTAGAATCTCCCATAAGCACAGTATCATCAGCAAAAAGTAACTGTGTCAATTCCCTTTTGAATTTGATTCCCCCAAAAATTTAATCCCACCCCCTCCCGAACACCCTAGCATTTACTTCCTGTACAACCTCATCTATAAATATATTAAACAACCATGGTGACATTACACATCCCTGTCCTAAGACCTACTTTTACCGGGAAGTAGTCTCCCTCTCTTCTACACACCCCAACCTGAGCCTCACTATCCTCATAAAAAAACTCTTTAAAAGCATTTTAAAAACTTACCACCTATTCCATATACTTGCAACATCGCCACATTGCTCCTCTATCCACTCTATCATATGCCTTTTCTAAATCCATAAATGCAATAAAAACTTCCCTTACCTTTATCTAAATACTGTTCACAAAATATGCTTCAATGTAAACACTTGATCTATACATCCCCTACCCACTCTGAAACCTCCTTGCTCATCCGCAATCCTCATTCTGTCTTACCTCTAATTCTTTCAATTATAACCCTACCGTACACTTTTCCTGGTATACTCAGTAAACTTATTTCCTCTAATTTTTTACAGTCTCTTTTGTCCCCTTTCCCTTTATATAAAGGGACTATACATGCTCTCCCCCAATCCCTAGGTCCTTCCCCTCTTTCATACATTTATTAAACAAAAGTACCAACCACTCTAACACTATATCCCCCCCTGCTTTTAACATTTCTGTCATGATCCCATCAGTTCCAGCTGCTTTACCCCCTTCATTTTACGTAATGCCTCACGTACCTCCCAAAAACTTACATTCTGCTCTTCTTCACTCCTAAAAGATGGTATACCTCCCTGACCAGTGCATTAAATTACTGCCTCTCTTTCTTCCTTAACATTTAAAAGTTCCTCAAATATTCTCGCCATCTACCTAATACCTCCCTCTCCCCATCTACTAACTCCCCTACTCTTTTTTAAACTGACAAATCCATACTTTCCCTAGGCTTTCTTAACTTGTTTTAAAATCACTCCCAATTTTTTTTCTTATTTTCATTAAAATTTCTTGACAGCGCCTCTCCCCCTCAATCATCTGCTCTCCTTTTGCACTCTCTCACACTCTCTTTACCTTTCTTTACTCTCCATATACTCTGCTCTTCTTATAACACTTCTGCTTTGTAAAAACCTCTCATAAGCTACCTTTTTCTCTTTTATCACACCCTTTTCTTCATCATTCCACCAATCACTCCTCTTTCCTCCTGCCCCCACCCTCCTATAACCACAAACTTCTGCCCCACATTGTAATACTGCATTTTTAAAAACTATTCCAACCCTCTTCAACCCCCCCCCCCACTACTCATCTTTGCACTAGCCCACCTTTCTGCCAATAGTCGCTTATATCTCACCCGAACTTCCTCCTCCCTTAGTTTATACACTTTAACCTCCCTCTTACTTGTTGTTGCCACCTTCCTCTTTTCCCATCTACCTCTTACTCTAACTGTAGCTACAACTAAATAATGATCCGATATATCAGTTGCCCCTCTATAAACATGTACATCCTTGAGCCTACCCATCAACCTTTTATCCACCAATACATAATCTAATAAACTACTTTCATTACGTGCTACATCATACCTTGTATATTTATTTATCCTCTTTTTCAAATTCAAATTCAAATTCAAAGTTTATTCTCTATAAGGATTACAATGCTGAGTTTACAGAAATTTGGTTATTGTTTGGTTTACATGTAGTAAACTTGTGATTACAGAGTGTACCACTAGAACGCTTAGCATGGCTAGGCATTTCGGGCATACTTAGTTTTATTCTTAATTGTAAAATATTACAAATTATGAGGTAAGTTGGTATTATGGCTAAGTGACTAAATACTAGTTTGTGAGTTTAGCAATGTGAATGCTTTTGTTTTGGCACAGTATATAGTTTCAGTATTGGAGTATCACAGGATTCATTATTTTAAGACTGAGATTAATATTTCTGTTTATGGTCAAATGAGTGAAGCGAGTGTAAGTGTGAACCACCAGGTGGTATTCGTGTAGTTAGTTGACGGGGTGTATCAGGGAGATAAGATGTTTTCTAATGGTAGTTTTTGAAGGTGATGAATGTGTCTGCAGTTCTAGAGTTCTCAGGTAGGGTATTCCAGATTTTAGGGCCTTTGACATACATTGAATTTTTGTAAAGGTTTAGTCGGACACGGGGAATGTCGTAGAGATGTTTGTTTCTGGTGTTATGCCTGTGGGTTCTGTCACAACTATCAAGAAAGCGTTTTAGGTCAAGGTTGATATTAGAGTTTAAGGCCCTGTAGATATAGATTGCACAGTAGTAAGTGTGGATGTACTGAACTGGGAGTAAGTTTAGATCTTTGAAGAGTGGGGGGGTGTGCTGCCAGGGATGGGATTTAGTGATTATTCTTACTGCAGCTTTTTGTTGGATTATTATTGGCTTTAGGTGTGTTGCTGCAGTTGATCCCCAAGCACAAATAGCATAGGTGAGGTATGGATAAAATGGATAAAATATGTGTTACTTATTACCAAATCTCTTTCTACACATAGCTCAATTAAAGGCTCCCCATTTACATTTACCCCTGGTACCCCAAATTTACCTACTACTCCCTCCATAACATTTTTACCCACTTTAGCATTGAAATCCCCAACCACCATTACTCTCACACTTGATTCAAAACTCCCCACGCATTCACTCAACATTTCCCAAAATCTCTCTCTCTCTCTCTCTCTCTCTCTCTCTCTCTCTCTCTCTCTTCTCTCTCTCTCCTCTCTCCTCTCTCTCTCTCTCTCTCTCTCTCTCTCTCTATATATATATATAATATATATATATATATATATATATATATGTGTGCAAAACAACCACTCTGAAAGAATAGAGAAATTCCAAGCGCTTTCGTGACTACTCACATTATCAAGGAACTATGAAAGTAAAGCATCCAAGGAAGCTATATAAGGGGTCTGGCCAGCACCTCACTATCAGATCCCACAACGGTTAAACACCTGACGCGCGCCGACCCAACTTGGATAGGTCCTTTGCACAACTCACCCCACAAACTATTCTACCCAAGAAAATTTAAAAATTATTTGTCCTGGAGTTTACCTGGAGTTTACCTGGAGAGAGTTTCGGGGGTCAACGCCCCCGCGGCCCGGTCTGTGACCAGGCCTCCTGGTGGATCAGCGCCTGATCAACCAGGCTGTTGCTGCTGGCTGCACGCAAACCAACGTACGAGCCACAGCCCGGCTGATCAGGAACTGACTTTAGGTGCTTGTCCAGTGCCAGCTTGAAGACTGCCAGGGGTCTGTTGGTAATCCCCCTTATGTGTGCTGGGAGGCAGTTGAACAGTCTCGGGCCCCTGACACTTATTGTATGGTCTCTTAACGTGCTAGTGACACCCCTGCTTTTCATTGGGGGGATGGTGCATCGTCTGCCAAGTCTTTTGCTTTCGTAGTGAGTGATTTTCGTGTGCAAGTTCGGTACTAGTCCCTCTAGGATTTTCCAGGTGTATATAATCATGTATCTCTCCCTCCTGCGTTCCAGGGAATACAGGTTTAGAAACCTCAAGCGCTCCCAGTAATTGAGGTGTTTTATCTCCGTTATGCGCGCCGTGAAAGTTCTCTGTACATTTTCTAGGTCGGCAATTTCACCTGCCTTGAAAGGTGCTGTTAGAGTGCACCAATATTCCAGCCTAGATAGAACAAGTGACCTGAAGAGTGTCATCATGGGCTTGGCCTCCCTAGTTTTGAAGGTTCTCATTATCCATCCTGTCATCCTGTCGACCATGGACTTGCTTGATACTACTTTCTCAATTGATTTTCAAAAAGTTGAGAAAGTAGTATCAAGCAAGTCCATGGTCGACAGGAATATAATTGAATCTTGTTTCATAAAAAGCAGTTTTGACAATAATATGAATATTTCCTTTGGTTTATATAAATTAGATCCATTTATAATTAATAGAATTTGGGAAGAATTTAATAATATACTGGACAAATAATTTTTTAATTTTCTTGGGTAGAATAGTTTGTGGGGTGAGTTGTGCAAAGGACCTATCCAAGTTGGGTGGGCGCGCGTCAGGTGTTTAACCGTTGTGGGATCTGATAGTGAGGTGCTGGCCAGACCCCTTATATAGCTTCCTTGGATGCTTTACTTTCTAGTTCCTTGATAATGTGAGTAGTCACAAAAGCGTTTGGGAAATTTTTCTCTTTTCTTTCAGAGTGGTTTTTTTTGAAATATTCTGAAAATCACCTGTTTTACTGTGATCTTATTGCATAAAATATATATTTTATATATAAAATATTTTTATATATATATATATATATATATATATATATATATATATATTTTTATATATATATATGTCGTGGCCCGAATAGGCAGAATTTGCGATCTTGGCTTAATAGCAACGCTCATCTTGCCATATAGGAAATTTGAAAATTTGTGTATGCAGTAATTTCGCCAAAATCATTCTGAACCAAAACGAAAAAAAATATTATTTATTGTGTTTGTTTAGTTTTAAATTATTGTAAACGTATTTAAAATACATTTAGTTGGGGTTAGGCTAAAAAAAAATTGTTCTCGTTATAATAAGGTTAGTAAGTTTTTCTAAGATTTTTTTTGGTGCAAAATTAATTTTTTTTTTACATTAACATTAATGAAAAAAATATATCTTTTAAGTTTAAGAGAAAATTTCAAAAAGGGACTTAATTTTGACCAGTTTTACATATTCGGCACGACATATTATATATATATATATATATATATATATATATATATATATATATATATATATATATATATATATATATATATTATATATATATATATATATATATAAAAATATAAAATGATCCAGTCCATGGGTTTATGGATGAGCTTGGGTAATTATATATAGTTTTAGGTGGTTATGATCAGGCCCAGGTAAAGCTGCTTATTGCAATGTAGTATGGACATGGCCGTGTGGTTTTGCTCAATACCAGACGGAGATTGCCCGTTTCAGATGCGTATGGCCAGGCCCATTTTGGAAATGTTAGTTCCAGAAGGATTTGGATGGGGTTCAGGGTTTTTTATTTATTCCCAAATGGTATATGATAATATTTCACTAATATTATGATTAGATGTGAAAAAATAATTTAAAGCTGTAAGTTTGGGCACTTTACTCTAAATTAATGTTTTAAACCATATATACTTTTATTTTAATGGAGAAATTGGAATTTCTTAAAAAAAATCTTGAAAACCTCCATGGTGTGACCAGGTCAACGAGGGTATAGCCTAATTCATGTAGATATGACTTGGTCTCGCATGATAATCTATATACGGTGATACAGGTATGCTGGAGAAGAACACGTACAACGGCATGGAGGCTCTCATGGCGGAGTTGCTGTCACGACTGGAGGCTGAAGCGGAGAAAGTCGGCGCCCCTACGGGTCGAGTGCGTCGTCGAGCACATGTTCCCCGCGATAAGAACAGAGCCCACTCTTCCAGCCAAAATATGCACAGCCCTAAAATGGGTGAGTTTGAGCTTCAGATACTAAATGTAAATACGCACACAAGTATATTAGATGTTTCAAAATGCTCCTTTCGTTCAGTTTAAGTTAGGAATGATTCTTTGTTGAGAATTTTCTGTGACTTAAATTATGGTTGTCTTAATGTTACAATTTGTTATTCTTGTAATAGTCACAGTAGCATTATCATCTCGATTACCCTTGCTATTTCTACTGCTTATATGTATAACAATAGGAGAGGGGCATTTTTAACTCCCGATCCTGAAGTTCTGTTCTGTAACGGTTCTTATACCTTTTCATTTTCATAGTATCCAGTCACAAAGATCTCCGTCTACTAGCTTTTGTCTGACAATTTGCATATTAACATGAAAATATGAGAATGTCAAAATCACACTTGTGATTTACAGCTGATAAGTAGCAGTCTTAACGAATCGCTGATGAAACAAACATTAATATATTTTTTCTGATCTTGGGAAGAAACAGTCTCGCCTCCCCTGCTGAAGCGAGGTGGGTTCTGGATAGGTCTGGTAATGGTGGCGTTGTTGCTGCTGCTGATTGCCAACTATGTCCTCTACAACAAACTCTCACGTCTGGAGCGCCTGACCGGCCTCAAATCTTCTCAACCTGGTGCATCTTCACACAGGTATATGGCATCAATTCATCGCATTCTGTCGTGGAATGTTATAGACATGGAATAAATTATTTCACATGGAGACAGTAAAATAAATGAGTGCTGTTCATTTCGGCCTAATTGGGGCCATCTTCAGCAAAGAGCACTAAGTCCAAATATGTACTACTCATCTTCTGTTTTTTGCCTTAATGTGGGTTTGATTATTAAAGTATTCCTTAAGTTTTGAGTATTCACCCAAACTGGGTCACAGGCAAAATTAATCTGAATATAGAATCTCGTATTATATGCCTTTGCTGAATAAACTTTATGGGTTTAGCGCTTAACATGGATGGTATTAATAAGGCGAATATGATTAGGTCGCGCCTAGAGGACGGAGGATCGAGCCTCCTTTACGCTACTTGCGCTTCAGATGATTATTAATAATGTGAATAGTACTGAGCCTTGTTGTGTGGTGCAGCTCCCTTGGCGAGTCTGCGGCCTGGGAGACAGTTGAGAAGATGGTGAGCAGACAGGAACAGCTTCAGAACCACCAGCAACATATCTGGAAGAACCAAATAGAACACGTTTCGCTCAAACTACAGGAGGTAAGTTAAACTGTGACCCCAGACTATTGGAACTGAAATTCACAACTGATCCACAAGCTGTAAATGAAAATTGGACGACGTTTCGGTCAACTGAAACATCATTCGTGATGATAATGTTCAAGAAGGACGGAAACGTGGTCTAATTGCCATTTGTTAATTTGTGTATTAACTTTGACTTATTTCATCCATGAGATTTTGACGCTCTTATGAGAATTTGAATACTGCCAGATTAGTCTTTTTATTAACAACCCTGAATTTTGAAACGGACATATGTAAGGGCGATAGATCTGACGTACTGTTAAAATTTGAACGTGGTAATATCTATGAATGGATGAATTCAGTAAAAATGACGCGATCAACAGTAATTTTTTCGAAGCTAAATGAACTCGACTATATGTAAAAACAATAATATTAAAAACATAATTTGAAGCAAAAAACATTTGACAAAAAAGAACTGAACACTGCAAAAAGTGTTATTACGAGAATCTGAATGCATCCCTGTCTGTTTAACACTTTTTTGGGGATGCAAATGGCATGCCGTCGATAATGAAAAAAAAAATTCGTTACAAGCGTTTAGTGGGACAACGTTAACCTCCGCATAGAGCTTTATCAAATTATCACTTTATAAAGCTTTACAGAGAGCGACACTTCTCAATAAAACTTGTTCATGTGTCTTCGTTTTTTTTATTAATTTTTATTAACATTTGTGAAAGTCACTTCACTGATCTATTTCATATCGTTCACATACGCAAAACCCACCTTCATTAAAAGTTTAGCCATGTTATACTGAATACAATGAAAAACTTTAATTTATTGACGACCATCGCTTGCTGCAGGTCCAAGCTTCGCTGGAGGAACTGCTGATGATGGTACCAGAACACCAGAAAAATCTTAAACACGTTCTTCAGTATAAGTGGATGAAAGTTGAAAACACACTCGAGGAGCAGAGCAGCAACGTCAAGGAGTTAGAGATCGAGTAGACCCTTCAGCGGTAGAATACCCACGTCATGGGGTTGGAGGATGCTGTATAGTCCTTGTGGCTTAGCGCTTCTTTTTGATTATAATAATAATAATAATGGGGTTGGAGGTTGTTTGTATCCAAATCAAGGGCAACTTTCAACTCTACAGCAGCCACGTTGAGAGACTGGAGGTTGTGCTCTATCTCCAGATAGGGTAGAAGATTCAACAGTAGAAAAGTTGGGATATTGTCCTTGAACTTCAGATCGAGTAGAATCTTCGGCAGTGGAGTAGCCACGCTGAAGAGTTGTAGCCCGTTGTACTTAAAGTAACGCAGCTAACGTTGAGAGTTGAGCTGCTACAATACAATTCCATGTCCTTGTCTCAAACATAATGATTAATGTGTAAAACCAGACACGTGCAACGTTAGAGAACTTTAACTTCGATAAGTTTCGTTTACCAGGTGCTTTATCAATCTAGTACAGAGTAAGGAAAAACATGGGCATATATAGTACGTGGTATGGAGGACGGGTATAGTGTAAGCGACCTGACTAAAGATAGTTCATCTGACAGCCGTGTCTTGACGGTCCAAGATCAATTTGGTTAAAATGTTGATGTTAAAACTCCAACACTGATAATTGATTATTCAGAACACAGAGTATTGTGTACATCCTCTTTGAATCATTAAATGGTCTTTGCTATTCCTAGGTTTAATACAAGCATTGTTGACATGACCAGTAAGGCCAGGCATATTTACGTTCATTTACAGACACGTCTAAATCCATGGCCTTCCTTCCCACGTCAACGTTATCGCGGCCTCTACATGGTATTACATACAGCCTCTACACGGGATTACATACACAGACCCTTCAGTAATGACATGGCTCAGATTTCTTACTGGCGATATCCTTGATTGTGCAGTTGATGATAATAACTACTCAGGCCACAATTCATAAAGACGTTACTCCTTAAAGGAAACAATAGATTAGAAAGCAATATATAAATACAATATATCTGTGACGTGTAAATATATTAATCTTTCAGATTGCAGCCTGTGTTGTTGAGGTATTTAATCTAGTCGAAATTGAATTGCAGTAATATTTTGCAGGGAACATCATTGATTACTCACTTCAACTTGATAAACTATGATCTGAAAATAATATATATCTGTGAAGATTATTTGAAATATTTATCTACCTTTTGTTCTTTGTTTGGTATTTATTGTAAAAGAATATGTAGCCACCAGCTTATAGGCAAGGGTTATGTTTCATTCAGATTGAGTGTATCTTGCTACAGTCTTTTTTTCCTACGTGATTAATAACATCAATAAGGGCTGCTTGATTTTGATGAAGAGCTCGTGATCTAGTTAACCTTTTTTCCCTTTCATTCAATCAAACCCGATTACCTCCCATTCCCTACAGGTTTAGCGCTTCCCTAAGATTACAGTGATAATTTGTTGGTAATGATATTCCTAAACATTAACTCAGTTAAAATGTATACATGCACTTTGGAAGAACATGAAGCTTACTACACCCAACCTTTCCTACTCTTGTATTTGTCTAATTAATTTTCCAATTGGCACTACCCTCCTCTGCAGCTCTATTGCCAAGCCATAGTCTGCAAAACATAATCATCCGGTAAAAGTATAGCATCAACTAACGCATATGTACTAATCCAAGCATAGTCACGAATCACTGCTCTGCATATCTTCAACGCTCGCGGATTTTAAAGGTGAAACACAAATAACCCGCACATAAAAGAGAGAAGCTTTCGACGACGTTTCGGTCCGACTTGGACCATCGACAAAGTCACACTAACCAGAGGTTCATTCATTCATTCATTCATTCATTAGAGGTTTGCCGGTACTTCCGGCCCGGGTCTTCTCCATATGGTGACCCGGCTGTGGCCCCCGGTTGGGGGTGTCGTTCATCTTCTTTCTTCTGTCTTCTTTCTTGGGCCCTCCGGCTGGAGGGTAACCTCTTCTTCTCTCTTGCGGCGACTCCCCGGAGGGGAGTGTCATCTCGCTTCTCATCTTCATCAGCATGCGTCACTTGGTCTTCATCAGCAGGCATCCACTTGGGCTTCATTGGCAGGCATCGCCAGGGTTGAGGGTCTTCGGGCACGTCAAGTTGTTGGTAGTGTGGCATGGGTTCTAGGCGAGGCGAAACGTCCACAACAAAGACACCCAGACGCCGCACATGTGGCTTAATTTCATCAGTAGTTGTAGTAGTAGTAGAAGAAGAAGAGGTAGTAGTAGTGGTAATGGTAGAAGTGGGAAATAAGGAGGACGAGCCAGTCAAATACAAAGGAAGGGGAGCACTGCAAGAGAGCTAGATGCCCACAGAGGGAGAGCAAGCGCACAGAGGTGCGTGAAAGGGGAAGTGGTGAAATAAATGAAGAAGGAACAGAAACACAGAGCACAAAAATAGTGTTAGGCTTGCCGACACTAACAATGCTCTTTTCTGTCACGTCAGAGATCATAGCCATCCTATTGACTGGTCTTCTGTCTTCCCTACTTCCAACTCGAACAGTCGCCTTCTAGTTGAATCCTCTCTAATACACAACTTTCCTTGTATGAACCTTAGCCCTGGCTTCGTCTCTATAGATGCCTTCCTCTACCATTAGCGCTTCTTTTTTGATTATAATAATAATAATCCCACTACATTGTAAAATGCTCCAAACTTCAGAACACCCGTGACTTAACCTGAATCCTCATTTTTTCTTTTTCTTTTTCTTCTTCTTCCTCTTCCCCTTTCCTCTTTCCTTTTCTCCTCTGGGTTGTCTTTCTCTCTCCTGTCTCGTGTTTCTGTTCCTTCTTCATTTATTTCACCACTTCCCCTTTCACGCACCTCTGTGCGCTTGCTCTCCCTCTGTGGGCACCTAGCTCTCTTGCAGTGCTCCCCTTCCTTCGTATTTGACTGGCTCGTCCTCCTTATTTCCCACTTCTACCATTACCACTACTACTACCTCTTCTTCTTCTACTACTACTACAACTACTGATGAAATTAAGACACATGTGCGGCGTCTGGTTGTCTTTGTTGTGGACGTTTCGCCATCCAGTGGCTGGCTGGATGGCGAAACGTCTATGATGGGGATGCCCGGGTGTTGTGCATGTGTGATGAATGGTTTGAAAAACCGACAAGTTGAAGATTGAGACACTTATGCAGCATATGGGAATCTTTATTCAGGAAACGTTTCGCCACACAGTGGCTTCATCAGTCCAATACAAAGAGGAAGGCGTAAGGAGAGGAGGAGTATGAGGTAATCAGTCCCTCAGCCTGGAGTCGATGTGTTCAGTCCATCAGTCTTGTAGAATGTACAGCATAGGGCCGTAGACGTGGCTTATATACTGTAGTGAGGTGACTTGAAGCAGACGGAGGCGGGATCATAGTGGTACCATCCACTAGTCGAAGTAGGTCTTTGTCCAAAGGTTGAACAAGCGTTGAAGAATTCTTTGTAAGAAGATCCCATGATGCTGCAGTGTCTGACAGTTGTGATGAATGGTTTGAAAAACCGACAAGTTGAAGATTGAGACACTTATGCAGCATATGGGAATCTTTATTCAGGAAACGTTTCGCCACACAGTGGCTTCATCAGTCCAATACAAAGAGGAAGGCGTAAGGAGAGGAGGAGTATGAGGTAATCAGTCCCTCAGCCTGGAGTCGATGTGTTCAGTCCATCAATCTTGTAGAATGTACAGCATAGGGCCGTAGACGTGGCTTATATACTGTAGTGAGGTGACGTCTACGGCCCTATGCTGTACATTCTACAAGATTGATGGACTGAACACATCGACTCCAGGCTGAGGGACTGATTACCTCATACTCCTCCTCTCCTTACGCCTTCCTCTTTGTATTGGACTGATGAAGCCACTGTGTGGCGAAACGTTTCCTGAATAAAGATTCCCATATGCTGCATAAGTGTCTCAATCTTCAACTTGTCGGTTTTTCAAACCATTCATCACAACTGTCAGACACTGCAGCATCATGGGATCTTCTTACAATGAATTCTTCAACGCTTGTTCAACCTTTGGACAAAGACCTACTTCGACTAGTGGATGGTACCACTATGATCCCGCCTCCGTCTGCTTCAAGTCACCTCACTACAGTATATAAGCCACGTCTACGGCCCTATGCTGTACATTCTACAAGATTGATGGACTGAACACATCGACTCCAGGCTGAGGGACTGATTACCTCATACTCCTCCTCTCCTTACGCCTTCCTCTTTGTATTGGACTGATGAAGCCACTGTGTGGCGAAACGTTTCCTGAATAAAGATTCCCATATGCTGCATAAGTGTCTCAATCTTCATGTTGTGCATGTGTCTTAATTTCATCTTGTCGGTATTTATATACAACTCTTGTACTACTACTACTACTACTACTACCACCACCTCTTCCTGCCTATATATAGCAGTCCTGCTCCACCTCTGGTTAGTGTGACTTTGTCAATGGTCCAAGTCAGACCGAAACGTCGTCGTAAGCTCTCTTTTATGTGCGGGTTATTTGTGTATCGTTCCAGTCATGGTATTGTGCCTTTTTTGTTATTTAAAGGTGAACACAGTGATAATTAGTGATTTATAAGGGATTTACGGTGTCCTTAGGAGTACTGAATAATTCTCTGGAATTTTCACACATCCATATTTTGTTTAAAGAAAAAATATAGGCAGAAACATTATACTATAACCATAAATTTTAATTGCAAAACTAATATTTTCTGGAGCTACGCAAAGTCTCTAAGAGAAGCCATAGGAATCGAACAATGCGCGGGCGCCATTAGAAACCCTGACGTCATCATGTACCTGTGACATCACTTGGCACAGTTCCCGCAGTTCCTCTGCTGGGTCAGCACGCTACCAGTCTGGCTGTCTCCACCGCCGTGTCCTGCTCACCAGCACTGCACATGAGCTCCCCCTCTAGATCAATATGAACACTCCGCTCGGCTCTGCAGCTCCTGCCGTGGCAGACGGAGGTGATCATGGGACCACTACGGCAGACCTTGGTCCCCAGGCACCCGAAGTAGGTGGAGCGGGAAAGGTAGTTCCCCAGGTTACTCTGGGGCAGACGAGGGACGTGAGGGGGAGTGTTACTGACGTTCTAAATGTCAGTGATGTGCTCTACTTGACTGATATGGATTCTGAAGCTCTGTGTCTTCATCAACTGCACCAAGTGAAGCCAACGGTGGTGCTTAAGCCATAACCTCAAAAATCATCTCAGGAACGTTTCTTGATAAGGATGTTCAGCTGGATCTCATTAAGAGATCATACATCACTCCTTAATAATAACTTGAAATATATATTCTTACCATTCTGAAGGTGTCAGTGGTCAGCTAGGGAAGCGCAATGCTCCTCAAGAATTACGTTACACCTGTACATTTCTACTTAGGCACTACTTGTACAGTTAGACTAATGTGAAGATTGCCATGCGATGAAACTGAAGGAGTAAGGTGTACAGAACACTATCACAAATCATGATAGCAGCCCAGAGCTTAGCCTCTTTTGAGCCATTGCGCTGTAAACATTGCTTCTTGAAAAGGTATTTACAGAAAGTCATGAACCAGAGATAAGTTTGGCACATTGCGTCAGTATAGAGGCACATCACCATTATTACAGTAGTAGCTAGTCTCTAAAGATCAAAAGTGAATGACAATAGCGTCAGATGTGTATAATGTTTGAATGATGTATATCAGTCCCACTTCACCTCACTTTAGGAGTTAAAACATAGTGAATCATTTAGTCCTGCCAAGTTTGACTTATCTTTTGTCATGTGCCTTACAGGAAAAACACCACAAATATCAATCATATTGATATTTACTGCTGGTCAACAAAATACTTGTTCAATTATTGTTTGTTTTTAGTGTGATAGTTCCCAGTTATATGCTCTCCAAATTAACTGAATGCTTCCAAACGCTCCTTCAATAGAAAGAAATGTACCTGCCACCCTCTGGACGCTGACATTAACAATGTATTTAGCTGGATCACAGAGTTAGGATGTATCCTAAAAATTTAGCTATATGATGAATTTGTTATGTACAGTGATGTATTGTATTTTTGTATCGTAAATTTGAGTTGACTGTGTTTCCTGATGTGCACGTCATGTTACTTTGTCCTATTGTGTCCTCGGTCGCTTATGACAAATCAAGGGCTTCCCCATATTAAAGGTAATGTTTATAAGTCAC